GTTGTTGTTGTTGTTTTTAATTTTTATATATATTTTTTTTTAATGTAAGGAGGCTGCAGTTTCACACTGATAATTAAATCCCAGAGGTGAAACAAGGGTTTTAGCCACAGCTGGGGCCAGCCCTGCCGGATACAAAGTATCGTGTAGGACAGACCACATATTTCCCACGGAATCACAGAAAAGCGGCATTTTGAGAGGAAGGGAATTGACTGGTAGCTCTCCTTCAGTAGCAAACCTCAGAGCATATCATGCAAGCTTTTCAAAACATTCTACAGTGTGCAGAATGTTGATTGTGCTTCTTTCCATTTATTTACTAAGAGACAGCGAGGAAGAGAGAAGGAATTAACTAACATAGAACACAAGTGGGATGTAGAAACAAGGCTGGCTAAGGATTGTGTCTCCTCTCCCATTGCTGTGTTGCAGTGTGCACTGTTTCACACACACAAACTTCTTAGGGCAGCTCATTCTCACTTCCACCACAGCTTCACTTCTATTAGCACAGGGCTGCTTGAGTTTAGTGTTGAAGGAGAAGGTTTACAAATGCCTTTCAAACCTTACATGGCTCTCTCTACAATATAGCTACTAGCTAATACAGCCTGCATTTGCTCGTAAAACAACTGTAAGCTTCAGCATCAAATATTTGACAAATTCAGCACTGATTATATAGCAGTCCTGATGTGTAAGTCTCTGCTAAGCTACAGGGCAGCTTTAAGAAAAGCTCTCCAGTTCTGGCAGCAAGCCTCATCTCCAGTTTGGACTTTTAAGGGTAACTTCAGCATGCTTCACATAGCACACTACTGTTAACAACCACTCGTCACGCCTTTTCCGTCTCCCCTGCTTTCAGCCCACATGGCAGGGTCATTACTTAAACCAACAGAAATACATTTCTGAGTAACATTTTTAGGGTATTAAATACCTTTTCAAGATCAGAATGTATCAGATGCCCAGCTTTTTTTTCCCCTGTCTTTCAACAGTTAGTGTTCAAAATGTCAGTCATGAGCAACATTCCGTAGGACATTTTGCTGTTAGTACAGAACAAATATTTAGGTAGAGAGCATGCAAAATCTATGGGGCAAATCTTAAGTAATTGCTACTGACTGAAATGAGTAGTGCTGCAAAGGGAATCTACAGGTTTACTCTGAATGGTGTAATATACTATTTTTCATAAATATTTGTCCCTGAAAATGGGACCAACTCACGCAGCGGTCTCCTTTCTCCACAGAGATCCATACCTTACATTAGTATATCCTGCTAGGATAAGACTGCACAAATGTTGCTCCCCACAGAATAATACAAGAAGGCTGAAGAAAATCTCACTAGAATGAGAGTTAAACTTTACCAAAAACCACCTACAAAGAAAATACCTCTTTATCCACCAGCTCAGATATTAACCTTCATTTATGTAACTTCAAATGGAAGTTATAACCTGAAAACTGGTGTTTCTAAGTAAAATGCCCATTGAAATAGCTCTATAAATGAAACTTTCTCACACTGGGTGTGTGTCTGTACTTCAACCATCTTGCTGCCAACTGTGTGAAAAACAGCAGTGAAGGTGCAGAAAAAAACGGACTCAATTTTTTTTTTTTCTGTTGGGGGTTAGTTTCAAGTGTTTGTCAGTAGGATTTACTTGGATGCTCTACAGATCAGAGGCAAAACAGCTATTCAAATTCTTTCTCCATTATCACCTTCCTATCTCCCAGAAGTTCACCTTTATTCATTAATAGCAAAAAGAGAAAGGTGAAATCCTCTTAGCCAAAACACTGCTTTTTCTTTTGCACAATACACTGGGATTACTTTTGTATGAGAACAGAATGCTGCCCTTTGCTGGGATTTTGCAATAAAATGATATATACTATCTACTATTTGATACCACCTACTATTTGATAAATACTATCTACTATTCCATGATTTTAAAAATGTTTGAACAAATGATAATTTGGGGTGAGAGACTTCTGAGTCCAGCCACTTGGGCTTTAAGCTGCTGTGCATGTCTCCATTGTATTTTTTAAAAGTGAGGCTCCACTTCTCATCTCAGTCTTCTCAGTGCTGACAGAAGTGCAGCCTCCAAGTCCAGTGCTGTTTCTTGTACACTGGACAGATGCTGACGGACACATTCGCAAGCAGACACATTCAGAAAGCAGTAAGAAATACTGTGGGATGTGCTGAAAATTAAACTCCAAGCTCTGGCATTTCCTTCAGAAGGTAAAAAAAAAAACAAACCAGAGTGTTCTGAGGAAGCATTATTGTGATGAAAGAACCCAACAGTACAGCTGTGTGAAAAACCCGAGACAAATCATGCTTGTTCAGTTAAAATGAGGTACATTGCTAAGGCCCTTTTACACTGTTTTGTAGAGAAGACCATTCTCCAGGTCCTGAACAGACTGAAGAAACGTTAGTGCCTCATTTTAGAAAAGTCTTCAAATTATTTAATAGGTCATCAAGATATTAGGATGCTTTTTCCAACCATCCAATGCAATTTACGTGCGTATATTGAGACCCAGATATTGCACAGGAGCATGAATGTCTCTGCAAGGGAAAAGATGGGATATTGCATCTCATTCTCTTCTGCATGCTGCCTGAATGTGCACACTGCAGACTGGAATAAAAGACAAGTTTCTGCATTGCTGGGAAAAGCAGGTGGATTTAACTGTGTGTAAATTTACCCTGCAGTGCTTTGTCCTATCTAAGGAGCTAATCCTGATTAGGTCCAACATTGTCTGAATCACATTTATGTTCACCCTGAAAAAAACAGGTCACAGAAGTTAATCCAGCCTGCAAAAACAGCTAGAACCAGAAAACCCATCAGGCAGAGGACAAGTGATATGCCCAGTCACCTGACATGTGCCATACACCCTGTCTTAGCAAGAATTAACCCACTGCAAAAATTTAACCATTGGCAACCTCTTCAACTTCCTTCCTTTCCTCCCTTCTCTTTCCCAAGTGTCCCAGCAACAAAAACAGAGCTAGAAATACATAAAAGGAAGGTTAACTGCATCCTTGTATACGAATTCTTCAAAAAGTTGAGATTTACTAAAGATTCTCATCCGAAAGGCCTAAAAGAGGCAAGAGTCTGCAGGGAGAAGCTTGTGTTAACATAACCTTTCTGAGGAAGGTGAACAGGGAAATCAGAAAAACTCCTCCAGGAGAGCAGTTTATAAAAGAGGTCTCTATAACAGCAATCAGGGGCAGCCTAAAGTTTATCCAAGGGAGGCTACATTTTATTCCCCCTCAGGCTTGACCAGACACCGTACTCTGCTGCTCACAAACTGGCTGGACAAGGAAAACATGTGCTGACAGCTTGGATATCACCAAAATGAAGGTGTCAGCCTTACTCTGAGATCACTCAACTGAACAATTGCCTTAGCTCATCCAGAAGCATTTCACTGCTAGTGGCCAGAAAGCCAAGTTGCTGGCTTGCTCATTTCCTTCTATGAATTTGTGCCAGCACACCTGAATCTTACAGCAGAATAAAGGAAAATCCAGAAAGCTGCTGCTAAACTTACTGCTTATAATGAAATCACTGCAAGATCTTTTTATGCAGACCTTTTTTGGCCCGTTTTCCAGGATGAAGCAACAGCTGTCTTTGCCAATCTCCTCACAGGCAAAGAAATTTTCAAGATTAATTGCTCTGATAGAAAACAGGAGATTTTTTTCTTTTTTTTCCTTTGCTTTGTTACTGTTACTCCTCCTGCAGTCAAGTTTCTATCCTGGAGGCTCTTCCAACTGTGAATTAATTACAGTTTTGATAAGCTGCATACCTGTTGTTCGTAGAGATCAGGAGTGGTAAACTTAAAACCCCCTTTTATTTCCTACAAGACTTTATTTCCTGGAAGACTGTAAAATTAATTTCCCACTTCTCCAATGAGGGCAATGGGAGGCAATTGCTGATGTTCTCCCATGTTCTGAAGTGTAGCAAAAGGAAACCTCTGCTGAAAATTGGGCTTTAGCAGAGGACAAAGGCCTGAAAACATGGCAACTCTTGCTCTTCCCCTGAAGAGCTTCCAACTAACCCATCAATGAAAGTAGCAGAGCCCATAATCCAGATTGGTGGGTGCCCTTGATGAAACCCATGCTACACAGGATGTCATCCTTTTTAATTAGGACATTTAACAGATCGATACGGCCAAGAACCAGAATTGCCTGTTCTTGTTTAAGAATAAGCTCTCCACCCAAACAAAGTATTAATGTGTCACACTGTATAATAAATACATGACTTGCTATACAGAGAAGTAGAGCTGAATGGCTTTGGCCTTGCCTCAAACTAATTTATTTTAAGTCTATATATAACAAGTTTCTCTGACAATGAATTGTGCAACGTCTACAAGACAAAAACCGGCACACTTCGTTAGCTACAGAAAGACAGGTGGACTGACAGAAACTTCCACTTAGTGCTTTATTGGCTGCCTGCCATAGTTCGAATGGGGGCAATTATGAAAAAATTGAACACATGACTTTAATAAGCTTCAATATAGATTGCTGTCTGGTGGAAACAGAACTTTACAATAAGTTACTCTGGGTCTAGTCTTCACTGCTAAGAAGAAATGTGTTGTTTCAGATGTCAATCGTATATTCTTGGTATTATTTGAAAAGCTTAGCGAGAATACTGACATGTGGAATTGCAGATGACAAGAAGCAGCCACAGCACTGATCTCCCTCTGTATCCTGTGAGATAGCCAGGCTCCCTCCATGCCAGTGGGGAAGCACCTCCCTGAGCACACCAGGGATGTGGCAGCAGCACCTGACTACAGGAATGCACAGCAAAGAGCAGCAACCGCTGCTGCGGGGGCTTGACATCAGCCTCTCCATGTGGAGTTGTTCTCTGCCCACAGCTGAGGACTGGACAGTTCACAGATAAATGAAAAATAATCTTATCAAATATTCAGAATGGACATGTCTTGGTGCAAAGGTGTCTTTCAAGGGTTTTACAGTTCAAGCTCCCACCTCCAGCAATTGAACTAGCTGTGACTAAGACGGCAAATAATGCATCACTTCACACTCACCATGAGGTCGGGGAGGCATCAGTGCAGAAGTTAACGCTTGTTCCACGTTTTGAGCAGCTTAAATGAAAGTTGAGGTTTGGATGAACCGCCAAATCTCCTTGCCAACCAATGCTCTTCCTTCCTCGGCCAAGCACAACCTGCATTTTTCAAAAACACTCATGTTACCCCCCAAGGAGACTGCTCTTTCAGCAACAAAGGTCTGCAGGAAACTTCTTTGGGACTGAAGCAGTCCATTGCTGGGGGCAGGAGTCAGTGACTGGCCCCCTTGCATGAGAGCCTGCCTACATGTGAGCCACAGAAATCCAGGCTCGCTGGAACTGCTCACATGGAATAGGGGCAGAGACAGACCAGAGCAAGAGCAGCAGTGGTCCCAGCCTCCCATACAACGTTTTCCTAGTTCCCTAGCAGAAGAAGCATTGGAACAGTTGCTCACCATCCCCACACCCACCTGCCAACTCCAGCTCCCTCCCCTGGCAGCACTGAGGATGTATTTTCATGTGCTGCTGCCAATATTATTATATTCTGTCATTTCGACCTGCTCCCAAACCATCTGTAAAAATAGTAGCAATTATTAGCAACAGGAACAATGTGCACTGATGACAAATCCATATGAGACATTTCTGACACAACACAAATTCAGTAAGGACAAGTCCAAATAATGAATGGTCATAATTTGGCGCACAAATACAACACTGAGAACAACCAGCTAGTCAATAATCTGCAGCATCAGACAGGAGGTCACTGACTTAATGTGAGTCATCAGTGTAAAAAATTATAAGAAAGCAGTTACAATATCAGGAGATAGCAACAGACTGTTCTGTGTAAGAAAGGATAAACAAGTCTGCTCAGGGCAGGAAATTCACATTAAGAGCAGTGTTGTGCTTTGGGCAGCATTGCCTCCAGGGGAGAAAAACTTGTGAAAAACAAATCCAGAAAGTCAGAAAAAGTACATTCACCAATTTGGAAACAATTAATTATGAGGTCAGATTACAATTATGAGATTTGTTCTGTCTAGAGACAAAGGCAACACGGTAACAGCTCTGAAATGAGTATAAAGCCTCTGCAAAGACAGATGAAATGTACCCCTGCTCCACGTGCACTTGTGTAAGGTGAGAAAAAAAGGCTGAAATTTGAACACTGAGATCTCAGACATCCAGAAGGTCAAGTTTCCTTTGAAACCTTTACAATGAATGGAAACAGATTGTTTACAGAGGTGCAAGAATAAACATTTCCTCCAAGGGGTTAAAAAATTATTTGACTAATAGGAGTCAGAAACAGTTTAGGTACAGTGCCTTCAGGTGGAGGGACAGCCTAGACAATTCAAAGTTCCTTGCAGTTCTTTGCATTCAAAAACTGAATCTATATCTCTTAATTTTTAATACAGAAATTTTTTTTTAATGTAATTCCATTTTTTATTTCGTAACATTGAAAATTCTAACTAGGCCTAATAAACAATAAAGAAAATAACCTAAACCCAAAATGTTTCAATGTAACGTTTATAAAACACATATTATGGTATTACTGAGATTCTGTATTACTGTTAATTGCTCACCAAGCCAAAAGACCTATCCTCCACAGAGTCCTTATCAAGATAATTCCATCACTGGAATTCCAAGATTCCAACAATACTGGTCCCATCATCATATTCACAACAGAATAGGAATAGAGATTAGATCAGCTGTAGCATCACTCTTGGTGACAGTCTGAAATCCTAGAATTGTAAAATGGTTTGAATTGTAAAGGATCTTAAAGATCTTAAAGGTCATCTAGTTCCAAGCCCTCTGTCCCAGACTGTTTTCTCCAAAGAGGAGTTAAAAAAAAAAAAAAAAAATCTTTGGAAATAAGGAGACTGCAGTATTTTGTTTTTTCTTCACTCTGGAGACTCAGAAGTTGCAGCAAGCCTTAAGTTAAATTAAAACATATTTTTATTACCCTTTGAACATTGCAGTGTGTTTCTCTCATCATTACAGCTTAATCTCAAAAGAACAAAGCAGCATTAAAAATTGCTCTCTGACTATACCCACGTTTCCTAATCTCCTCTGAGATTATTTTTAATGCAGGCAAGAAAACATCTCTTTCAAATAAGAAAATCCGTATCACATTTGCCTCCAGACCTTTAATTGTTTAATGCTATTTCCCTAGGAAGATGTTCAGTTTCATTTACACAACCCTTTTTCTTTATTTTCCAAAAGGCTAATCAATATTTTGAAATATAAAGCTACTTTATAAACTGCCTTAATTTTCTAATGAGTCGAACTGAAGCTGTAACAAATAACACAATTTACCATGTCTTCCCCTGTTCAATGCATGAGATCTCTTGTGAACAGCAGCTTCTGCCAGCTGGGGTTTTGGTTGTCAGAGCAGTAAATTTTGCTTTCCAAAGCTTTATGTTCTTTGTGCACAGCTGGAAAACTTTGTATTTAGCTGAGTATTACCATGTATATGCAACTGAATTGTTAATTTATAGGGGAAGGTGAAAAGTAGTGTTTGCAGTGTTGCAAGAAAGAAGATGATATATAGTCAAGCCACGCACAAGAGAGGAGATGAAGAGCCACCAGCCAACTCAGTTGGACTCAAGCTGCCAGGCTTTTATAATACCAGCTCTTTATTAACAGGAATAACATTTTCCTTACATCCCTAACAGGCAAAGAATGTTTAAAAACAGGGGGGAAAAATGCTATTGGCAAAGAGTTCCTTCATTCTTCTCAGGGGGCTTAAGGAAACAGACACCAAGTGCTCGCAGTGTTGCAGAAGTGTCTTCTATTTCCTTATGGTCTGTGTCCAGTGAATTTCAGGGGAAATTTCTGAAGAGGATGCCCTGCTAGAGCACAATACACTTCAAGGATACTGTGTTCAGCTCCATCCAGCAGGTGTTTCAGAGGAATGCTCTGCCTGAAACCTGCCTTTTGATTACTATGCCTTTGGAGACCTTCTGAAAAGGGAGACCTCACAAGGGTACTGAGCTTTGTTTAGAGAATTTAATCCTTATTCTCTCAGCTGCCAACAGGGAAAGGCTATGTTTTTTCTAAGTAAAAAATTCCTTTCTTGGAATCAAGAGATGAAAGCGGCAGAGAAGAGCAAACACCCTCCCCAAACAGCCAAGCTAACATCCCCAACAGCTGACTGTTAACAGCAGCAGAAACATCCCTTTTCACTTTGACAGCATGTATCAAAGTAAAAAATCTTTACCAGGTGGCATTAGGCATTACAGGAATACAAGAAACATCCAAAGAACAACCTGATCCTTTGAGACTCCTTTATGTTCCTCCCTCCTGTTGAAATGAGTGGTGCAGAGGGTGCTACCAATGTAACCTGAGCGGTGAATCACATGCCAAAGGCTACAAAGCATAAGCCATCCCAGTGCTATACTAAGCACTACTGGAAATATTTCCAAAAAATCAGGAAAAAAAACTCCTTTAAACTGAAATTCCAATCTTGGATGCACACATTGCCATGAGATTTCCATTACTCCTAGAACACTGACAATATGAGTCCAAAGGAAAAATGGTTTGAAGCATTCATAGATTTTTTTTTTTTTTTTCTCCCAAGACCTTCACTTTTATCAGTGGCACACAAACCTAGATACTTGCAAAAGTATTGGGAAGCAACAGGTGGGGAGGCACTAGAAACAAGTTGCCAGACCATCTGTGGATGCCCCAGGCCTGGAAGTGTTCAAGGCCAGGTTGGGTGGGTTTTAACCACCTGATCTAGTGAAAGGTGTCCCTGCCCACAGCAGAGGCAGCAGTTGGAACTAGATGATCTTTAAGATCCCTTCCAAACAAAACCATTCTCTAATATTTTATAATGGCAGGCTTGCAGTAAATCTAATTTGAAGCATTACAGTACATTCCATGAAGCTTTTCTTAAACAAAATCTCTACTCATGAGCAGAAGAGTTTGAATAAGGAGTGCATTTGTTGCAGGTCCTTCAAAGATCTGACCTAGCCTGGCCCAATAATAAATCAGTAATCCCCCTGGCTGTACTAATTCAGACCCCAGGGATCTGAGGAGTTGAATTTCCTGACAATGTCACCTCCAAAGGAATATGCCAGCTCAACAGGACTTTTCCAGCAGCCTTGCTTCCTGCCTGTGAGAGGCTATGGCAGGCTGTGCAACAGCACAGTGGATGGTGTTGTTCTTCCCAGTATTTGGGAACTGATGAGGAAACTGAATGGGTTGAGAGATACACCAAGCTGGACTGCAAAGCTGAGAAAAAGCGTTGCACACATAAGTGGTAAGCAGCAGAAGTGAGCTGGAAAATCTGGGAACTATGTAAACTCACATAAGGAGGGGAATGTGCTGGGGAAAACTGAGTTGGGTGGAAACAAGAAGTGCTGGATGTTTCTCTACAGCTTAGAACTGCACTTTGATTTGTTGAATCTTGTAACTTCCCTGTGGAAAAACCTTTCTGCAAGGCCCTAGCAAAATATCCTGTCCCTTCCAAGTGCTGGACATGTGGAGATTGCAACCTATTATTTGTGCCGCTTTGTTCACTCAAGGGAAAAGTTTTGTGACATGGATATGCATGGTCATTGTGCTGCATCATGCTTTGGCACAATGGGGGGTGTGCTACATGACAGGACTTCTGTTTTCCACTTGATTTTTTTCAAAGTCTAAACAATAACCCATAAAACCACAATATGGTAGAAGCACACTAAAAAAAAATCATCAACTCACCTACCCACCTGCCTACTGAGGAGATGGCTGAATTAGTGTTACTTCTGCAAGTTTAATAAAGGATATTTATCACTGTGTGTAGAACCCTTTTTAAATTATTGCCAGAAACTTAAAAAGTAGGTGAGGTAAATAACCACGAGTAGAAAAAAAACCTACTAAAATAAGAAAAAGAGAAGGAATGATCTGCAAGCAATGCCACTTGATGCTTTGCCGTGACCTGTTTCCCCCAGCAGTACTTGGGGGTGGAGCCAGAACAAATCACTAAGCCACTCTTTTCTCAAGAGGTCCCCAATTCTTTGCTCCACTCCTCTGTGAGCTCAACCTGAAAACCTCATTTCTGACCACCCAGCACAGTCAGCACTCACAAGTATCACGGATGGCAGAAAGGTGCTTTCACCTCAAGTAAATGCATGCCACAGGATGGAGCCCAGAGTGCCTCAAAACCAAGCATGTAGCAAATT